GGGGGGGTTTGGCAGCTGTAAAGTGTAGGGGGGCTTGGGGGCTGCGGGAGAGAGTGTGTGTGTGTAGAGGGGACAGTAGGGTGTGTGTGTGTATGTAGGGATTGTGAGAGGAACAGTGTGTGTAGGGGGCTGTAAGGTGTGTATGTTTGTGGTTAGGGGTGTCAGAGTGTGTGTGTAGAGGGGCTTGGGCATGTGTGTGTGGAAGACTAGGGAGACTAGTGGGTGTTTGTAGGTAAGGGCATGAGAGGGAGTGTGTGTGTGTGTGTGTGTGTGTGTGTGTGTGTGTGTGTGTGTGTGTAGGGGGCTGTAGTGGGTGTGAGGGAGTGCTTGTGTGTACAGGGTGTGTAGGGGAAGTGAGGGTCTGTCTAGGGTGTGGGTAAGGGGTTTGGGTAGGAGGGTGTGGGTGTGTGCAGGGGCTGTGAGGAAGAGTGTGTACATAGGTGTCAGAGAGAGCATGTGTGTAGGGGTGTCAGGGAGTGTGTTCAGGGGCTGTAGGGTGTGTATGTGTAGGCAGGGGTGTGAGAGGGAGTGTTTGTTGGTTGTGTGCATAGGGGGATTAAGGGGTGTGAGAGGAAATGTGTGTGTAGGGGGGTCCCTTTTTTTGGTATGGATGTGATCAGCTTTGGAGGCTTAAAAAACGGGGGAGGGGGAGGAGTATCAGGGACAAAGTCTTTCCAAGGAGTTAATAAGCTCGGCTGCTAATAAAATAGGTTGTGTTGAACTTCCCAGCAGTGCTTGTAGTCAGGTTTTTGTGTGTGTGTGTGTGTGTGTGTGTGTGTGTGTGTGTGTTTGTTTTTAAAAGCCCTGATTAAAGGACTCTGAATTTTATGTTCTGATGCACTTGGGGCTCAAATCATTTTTTTTTTTTTCTCCTCCCCCTGCTTTTTCTTACCCCTGCTCCCTCCACTTTCCCTCCCTTTTTCATCTGATGTGAGACCTGTTGATTTTTTTTTTTTTTAAATTTTCTAACAGATTGGGCCCAAATTAAGAATTCCCACAGATTAGTTTTCTTTTTTTATTTATAAGGCTAAATACCAGAAAAGTCTCCCTTGCTTACTTACAGTTGATCTGTAAGAGGGTCCTTGAGGAAAGGTTTCTAATCCCTGTGAGAGATCAATTCCACAATTGATTGTATTGTTTCCATAATGACTTTCTTGTCCTGAGTTCTGAAACCAGGCGAGATTTAACGCAGATCTAAGGGGCAAAACTGGTCTGATAAAAGCCTTGTCGCAGCCCTCCCCTGTCTCACGTGTTCACCTGAGCCATCCAATACTGTCATTTTAAGTAAGATGCTGAGTGCATGTTATAAAAAAGTGTGAAACTGCATACACCCAAACTCTTTTTTTGTCTTGAAATTAGATAATCTACACACACACACACACACACACACACACACACACACACACACACACACACACACGTGTGTAAAGTCACTCACTGCTTTAAAAATCTCAAGTAGCTGTTTTCTAATCTCACCCAAATGCTGCTATCTTGTGGAGAGGTGTATCCACCTCTCTCCTTGTTGAAACCTTTTAAAAGTTCAATAGGGTTTAACTGCATTAGGATAGTATAATAACTCCAGCCTTACGCTTCTGTGTCAAACTAGTCACCATGAATGGTCTAATGTATCCATTTTACTTTGTTACCAATTTACTAAATACATGCAGAGGAGATTTGTCTTTTCTTAGGTGCATTTTTTTTTTTTTTATATTTGCCTTTCGGTACTCATTGTTTTATTAAATATGTGTGTCCATGGACTAACTAGATTCTGGGAATGGGGGGTTCAGGCAGGGGGAGGAAATAACTAAACTGGTGTCATGGCAGATAGCCCAGGTAGACCTCTAGAATGAGTGGTTTGCATGTTACTCTTGCTCTTAACGCAAAGAAATATTCCAGAACTTGTAAATAACGTCTAGCTATTAGTCTTCAGTGGTGGTATGCTGTAGGCTCACTGTAAAATTAATGAAAACACAGATTCCACATGCTATAACATGGAGCTGTGACGAAAGAAATTTTATTAGGATTTAATTAAGTTGGTATACAAAGGAAGTGGCCTGAAATCGGTGGTTATATTCTCTAATGGAAAGCCTTATAATGAGGAAGGAGATTAATGGCGAAATTTAACCTTGCACTGTGGTTTGTGCTTCTGTATGTGGAAAGTAAACTCTTGGTAATAAATGGAGAAAATCCAGTGTAAGATTCATTCATGCTACCAGACTTCTGAACATAAAACTAAATGTGGTAGAAAAGGAACTCTACAGAAGTTGAAAAGCAATAGCACAGTTTGCCAACTAACATGTTACTGCCATTTGAAGTAATTTCACAACAAAAAAATAAAGTTTGATTCTACATCTTGCAACAAATAATAATAATAAAACTAGCCACTTGCTTTGTAAACCATTGGTTAGGTCAGGCTGCCTGAAAGCATTACTGACTGTATGAAAACATGTGAAATCTCTTTTGCAAGAGACAGCAACAAATGAGCTATCTATTTACCTATTTTGGACCTAATCCTGATACCCTTATGAATAATCCTTATTTAGGGAAGGGAATCCATTAAAATAAGCAAGGAATAATTGTTTGAGTTGAGGAATATTCATATTAGTAATGACTTTTTATGGCAAGATGAATGGTTTTCCAGCATATTTATCACCAAAATTTAAAAACTGAATTTTTTTGAACAGGTTTATTTTTTACACTTCAAACTTTAAATTTAGCTTTGCATAGCTATGCAGTTCAGACTTGTACTACACATTTTATAGCCCCCACACAATAGGCCACATGCCACATCTTTCCCCCCCCCACCCCCAAATATAATTACAGAGGAGGGGAACAGGGGAAGAGAATGGGACTAAATTTAAGCTAAGAAGCTATCTCTTTGTTTCACTGTCATGGTACCATCCATGGTACTGTGGGTAGCCATCTCTTTACAGACCTTTTGAGTAAAATAATAGGGTGTTCTTTGTAAAATGCCATCACAGATGTTGAGCTTGCGGTCTCTAATTAGGGCACAAAAATCTGTGTATTAGGGTTTACAAATCATCTAAATTGTGGAGTAATATTTTTGGAATGGAGCTTAAGGGATTGACATTTTGACATGAAAGCCATATTTTTGGGGGTGGGGAGGGTAGAGAAAGGAGTAAAAGCCCAGAAATGCAATAATTACCCTAATTCCTCAATCAGTTTTAATTTATTCTCATTAGATCTCCACTAAATACAGTGCTAAAGGTTTTTGTTTTGTTTTGTTTTGTTTTTTCTTGCTAATGTCCTTGAATTCCAAAGTAATGCTTCTCATTTCTTGTCCGTTATTATAACCACCTGGCATGCGCAGTGCACCAGCATTGGATCAAAGTGCATAACAATGAATGAAACATTCTTAACTTCATGCTGAACACGCTTGCATAAATAAACAGAAAGATGAGGGGAACAGCATTTTTATTTGAGGGATTTTCAAATCCTGTGTCACATGTTAAGTTAGTGTCCAATATGTAATCTGAAAATTTCCAGCAGCATATTAACTCCAACTTTTATTGCTTGTCTCAGTTACTGATTACATTGTGGGTTTTTTGTTTGTTTTTTTCCCCCTTTCCTAATCAAATTAGAAGCTTTAGAAGAACTCCCAGAAACAAGCAGAAAAACAGCACGGCGATTCTTCTTTAATTTAACTTCCATCCCCAATGAAGAGTCTGTCACCTCAGCTGAACTTCAGATTTTTCGGGAGCAGGTACAGGAAGCCTTTGAGAACAACAGCAGCTACCATCACCGTATTAATATTTATGAAATCATTAAGCCAGCCACAGCTGCTTCTAAGGACCCTGTCACGAGACTTTTGGACACCAGGTTGGTGCATCATAATGCGAGTAAATGGGAAAGCTTTGATGTTACACCAGCTGTAATGAGGTGGATTGCACATGGACAACCTAATCATGGGTTTGTGGTGGAGGTGGTTCATTTGGACAATAAGAACAGTGCCTCCAAGAGGCACGTTAGGATTAGCCGGTCTTTGCATCAGGATGAAGACAGCTGGTCTCAGCTAAGGCCATTATTAGTAACATTTGGCCATGATGGCAAGGGACACCCTCTCCATAAAAGAGAGAGACGTCAAGCAAAACACAAACAGCGCAAACGCCACAAATCCAGTTGCAAACGACATCCGTTATATGTGGACTTCAATGACGTGGGGTGGAATGACTGGATTGTTGCCCCACCAGGGTATAGTGCCTTCTACTGCCATGGGGAATGCCCTTTTCCACTGGCAGATCACCTAAACTCAACAAACCATGCCATTGTTCAGACTTTGGTCAATTCAGTGAATTCCAAAATCCCTAAGGCTTGCTGTGTACCGACAGAACTGAGTGCTATTTCCATGCTCTACCTTGATGAAAATGAAAAAGTCGTATTAAAGAACTATCAAGATATGGTTGTAGAGGGTTGTGGGTGTCGCTAACACAGCAAAATATATTAGATGAATACAAAAAAAAGCTGACACTTTAATATTTCCCAATGAAGACTTTATTTATGTAATGAAATGGAAAGAAAAAAAAACACAACTATTTTGAAAATATATTTATGTCTACAAAAGAAAGTGTTGGGAAAACAAATATTTTAATCAGAGAATTATTCCTTTAAAGATTTTAAATGTATTTTAGTTGTACATTTTATATGGGTTTAACCCCAGCACATGAAGTATAATGGTCAGATTCTTATTTTGTATTTATTTACTATTATAACCACTTTTTAGAAAATAGCTAATTTGTATTTATATGTAATCAAAAGGAAAAAAAATATAGGGTTTGTACATAATTTTCCAAAACTGTAGCTGTTTCAACTGTGTGTATTTAAGTTGAAAAGAATACATGGAAGGTTACTATGGCAAAGTGCATAGCACATTTGCTTTCTGCTGTGCTACTGTTAAGGTCACAAGTTCAAGTCCAGAAAAAAGTGGATAATCCATCCTGCTGACTTTCAAGATTATTATATTGTACAATTCTCAGGAATGCTGCAGGGTGGGCTGTCCAATCCATGAGAACTGGCATCCTCTTTAGGTGGAACATTTGGATAAGACCCAGACATTGCTGATCTAGTATAAATACTGCTATTCCTAACTAATTTACAGACTGACTATAAGCAGGGCCAATAGAAATCTTAAGGTGGGGGCGAGGAGGCCAAATCCTTTCTAGACCTACAAAAAGTAAATCCCTCCCGCCTGCCTCCCCCTTTAAAAAAAAAAAAAAAAAAAAAAAAAAAAAAAAAAAAGTAGGTCTCCCATTTAAATTCTAATCCTGGCCAAATATAAAAATAATAAAATGTATTATTTCGGGTGTGCTTTTTATGTATGCTAAAAAGGAACAACAACCTTATTTCTACTGGCCCTTTGCTAAAACAGTTGGGAATATAATTACTTTTTTACCTCAGCTAAGAGCTCATTTATGTGGAATGCTATCATGAAATAACCTTCAGATTTTGCCCAACATACAGCAAACTGTTGTCATCGGCAGCCTCCTATCTGACCTCACCTTTGTTTTTTCTGTCTCTGAGTAGCTTGTCTTCCTTTCCAGGGTTGTGTGTTTGAAAGCATTTTTCCCCCAGATGTTTAAACCTATTTCAGATAATAAATAATAGAGCTCTGATACTTCATTCTGCCCAGTCCAATCTGTAAGAGAGAGTGATTCATTTGTACAGCATGCACAAGGATAACTTGTATTTACATCTTTTTTTTTTTTTTCCCTTATTCTTAATATCAAGGGGAAAGTCTGATTTGCAGTTGGCAAGTAAGGCATTAATCACAGTTCATACTTATTGTACATTAAAAGGCTGGCACAGCAGTTTGCAAGTAGCTGGTATAACATGGGATGAGGACACAGGCTGAATTGCTTGTTGCAATTGGAAGGCCTGCCAAATATTAGACTAAGTAACTGAAACTGGCTCTTTGCTGAGGTAGTGCAAGCTGGACCAAAGCCAAGGGCAGAAGAAAGTCAAATTAGCCCGAGTGGTAAGTGCTTGCCTATGTTTGATGCCTTAAGCTGTGGAATTGGCCTTAGACTGAGGAGTCTATGCTTATATCCTCTAGTGACATGGGAATTGTGTGCGTGAGAAAGAGAAGAAATTTAAAATCTTTGCCAGTTTTCTTTTGTAAACGAAGGTGGCACTCTGAAGCCAGATGGGCCATGCTTCATTCAGTGACCTTTTTTAAGACAGCTTCTGGAATGTTTGAGGCCTGCCAATCATTAGCTTAACTGTTTTTATTAGTGTTAAAGAGGTTTGTTCTATTACAGTGAATATGCTAACAGGGTTTGTTGTTCAAAAAGCTTCTAAGTAGATCCCTTTAAGACATTCTCTGTTTTTACCCTCTGCCTTTAGTCATCAGCAAAGACAATTTTTAGAAAGGATGGAGAGAAAAATGACAGTAATTTCCTGTTGGCTGCTGTCTTTTTCTTTTTTCCTTTCTCATGAGCCTAAAATATTTGTTATGCTCATCTACAAGCTTCTGTGACAAAGTAAGGCTTAATTTTTACTGGATTGTAGCAGTGTCTCTCTAATAATATCTAAAGAGCGATCCACCGCTTTACAACTTGTCTGTGTTTTTGTTTTTAAGATGGCTGACTCTCTCTCATACTGGCTCAAGGAAGTGGCCTACAGTGCTGGATGGACAACTCTCCCCTTAGTTTGTAAAATACCAGAATTCTTGTGAAGTCTCTCTTTGGTTCCTTTGCCTCCCCACCCAACAGGGCATAGTGTTTTTATTCAGCACTATGGCTTGTTGAAATGGGTATGCTAGCTTCACTGGCAGTGAACAAGTTTGTAGCTGTAAGCTCATGAATGCTGTCAGCCATGGGATTATGCAGTTACAAGCAGATGCTGTTTGAGTCCAATGGCTTGCAATGCATGTCCTTTGCAGTACTAGATCACTTTCCAATTTGTGTTGCAGAAGCTAATCTTGAACGGCCAAGAAATTCTGGATTCACACCCAGATTGTACCACATCTTTGAGCATGGAGGTTCTGATTCAAAACCTGTTGAAGTCAATGAGGGGAAAAACTCCTGTTGATTTTCATGTGCTTTGAGTCAGAGCCTAATTTTTTTTAATTGCCTTAAGTTTCCCTGCTCCTAGTCCACTGTATGTAACTTTATAATATCAAAGGCTTCCTAGAGAATAGTGACTGCTTTTGCTTCTCCTCTAAGGCATGAGAACACATCGATGCTAATCTCTCTCTCTCTCTCTTTCTTTTTCAAATTGGCTACAGCACTTGTCTATGCATGAGCAGTAGCTGGCTCATGGCCTGATTCTGCATTCCTTATAATAAAGGCAGACCTCCCATTTAAACCAGTGGAAGTGTTTTTTGACTAAGAATCACAAATTTAGTAAAATACTTGGTGAGATACATGTAGCTTTAAGCTCACAAGGGTCCAGATCCTATGAGCAGAGCAAGAGCTGCTTATCTCTGTGTTCCTCAGTAGTTCTATTGATTTCAAAGAGCCAAAGGATCTATGTTTGTAGAAGTCCATGGAATTGGAGTTGACCATTTTAAAAATAAAAATAGGCTCCCTCTAATCTGAAAATGTGAGGTAGCAGAGTTGAAGGGTTTGGCCAAACTTTTTTAAGAATTACACATAGTGAAATTGGTCATGTAGTGCATTTGGTGAGACTGAACTCAGTCTTAATGGGACAGCCTACCAAACTGTGAAAATTAAAGTAGATCCTCAGCCTGATCTAGTGAAGTGTTGGGCTTGCTGACTTCTAAATCTGGTAGTGGTGGCTGATTCATTTTTCTGAATATTGGAAATATGCTGTTTTCACAGTACTCATTAGTGTTTTTTTTTTTTTCTGTACAAGAAGGAGTAGAAGTTCTTTCTCTCATAAAGAGAGAGAGAGAGAGAGAGAGACTAGAAGACACAGCGCAACCTTTTACTTTTGACCCATAATCTTAAACTTCCCTGAGCATGTTGTTTCTTGATTTGCTTGCAGTATGGGCATGGGGTGGCAGTGATGGATGGTTTAAGCCATCATTTGTAATCTTCAAATAGGCATCTCTAAATGCAGAGTGCTCAGCATCTCTGTATAGTGTCTCTGTTGCTCTTCATACTTTGGTTAAGCTAAAACCCAGGCTCCTTCACAGTCTCTGCATAAAATTCAGTCAAGTTCTGTAGTCAGCAGCATGGTTGTATTTTAATAACTATGGAGGAAGACCTTTAATTGGTATAAGCTATCATGAGAGTTATGACCATTTATACTAGTTGTGGATCTGCCTCTGTGTGCTAAAATGAGTTGCCTCATCTATAGTGAGGCTATTACTGCTAATACTTATACGTATGCCAAGTAACTCCCGCCCTTCCCAACATGCTGCTAGTCATCTTCCATTTATACAATCAATTTTGAGACCTGGATATGAAAACTACTTGCATATTGTATTCATGATTATGAAGCAGGAACTCATCTGGACTGCATTTACACTAGATACACTTTGCCACACCAGTAGGAGTGAATAATTATTGAACTATTTTACTGAACAGCTATTTCTAAATTGTTGATTTTTTTTTTCTTTTTAATTGATTTCAGGAGGCAGCTAATTGCCATATGGCAGCTTGATGTTAATGTTTAACAAAGATCAGGAAACAAACTTTTTATGAAAAGCTTTTGTATAGGAACTGCAGAGTTTCAAGAACTGTTTTATACTTCCTGACAGTGCAGGTCTGGCTTAATGGTTTGTTTTTATGGTTTAAGAGTGTAAACCTTTCTTTAGCCGATGTGTGGAAATTATATTCTCATCCCACATTACGCATTTCTCATTGCTTATTACTCATGCACTGCTTTCCTCTCTGCCGTCTGTAATCAGAGCTTTACTGTTTCAACTACATACAAAGTACTCCTATCCTTTGCATGGTAGAATACTTTTTTTCTTTAATACCCAACCCACCCTTTCAAAAAGCGTGTGGTGGGGGGAGGTAAAGAAAAGAAAAAAGCCTACTCTGTCTATATTGTTTTTCTCTGTTTTGGGTGGAGTCTGTCTTAGATTTTGGTTTCTGTAGTAACAAGCAGAGAAAAATTCAAGACTGAAAAGGCACTTTTAAAGATGCCATATCTTGCCTGAAGTATTATTTTATCTAATTATATATATGGAATGTGTGTGTCTGTCTCTCTCTCTCACACACACACACACACACACACACACACACACACACAAAGGCTACCTCCTTTTTCTCCTTTTGGCAAGGCAGACTGCTGCTATGAGACCTTGATTTGTTGTGTTCTTACAAAACGAGTACATGAGAACCACAAGTCTTGTTCCCAATCAACTTAGGCTGCTCAGGAGAATGATAAAAGCCAAAGGCATTAAGATGTATTTTTTAAAAAGTAATAAATGGTTGTTACAGGCACAAACCACTCTGTATGTTTTTAGTTACATGGGGAAGGAAAAGAGACTAAATTCAGAAAGACAGGGGACACTTGGGTTCACATGTTGTTGTAAGAACAGTGTTAGAAAGAACTGCCTGGTTTGGTTTTTTTTCTTTTTCAATATGACTACTCTTATTTTTACAGAAATACCTAATTTAAGATAAGAACATTAATTGCACCGTGCCATACTCC